ATTAAAAACAAAATGATATAAAATGTAATATAAATTTACGATTTTAACAGTTAATTTAAAGCAAAGAGTCCCAAGATGGCAAGAATTAAAGAAGAAAAATAAGAATGACTTAATTGACTGAAGGGAAGGCCTGCTTGAATAGCCAAGTTTTCAGCTGGCTTTTGAAAATGCCCAGCGAGGGTGCCAGCCGAATTTCAGTGGGGAGGGTGTTCCACAGCCGAGGGGCCACCGCCGAGAAGGCCCGATTTCTTGTTTTTTCTTTCCGGGCCTCCCTCGGCGTCAGACCCCTCAGCCGTCCCTGAGAGACCCATTAAGTGTTCCCTAACTTACCTAAAAGTAACCTCTCAACTTCTGCTAAGCTGACTGGGATGGATTTCATTTGTCAGCTCATAGCTTCAGGGTGTGAGAAACCCAGATACCTAGATACTCGGTGAATACCTGTCTCACTGCACTAAGTAAGCTACTTGTTGCTAATCGTTTGTAAGCTGCTTCTGAAACCAGCTGGAAGCCTGTACTGTTTGAACAAAAGGTACTTCACAGGTACACCCTGAGGAGACAAAGACAGGCTGGCATCCTAATGACTTCCCCAGTCCTTTGGCTGCAGGATGTTAGGCTCTGAGGAAATTCACACCTCTTTATAGTGGCTGCTTGCCTCAGTTTAACTTGCAAGCTCTCTCTGTTCATTTGGCTCAGAGTGACAAAAGTACCCTTCATGAATCCAACTCAAAATTTAAGACTAATTTCTCCACAGTTGTGTAGGTGGAAATTCTTAAATCGATTTCAGACATGCTAAACCTGATGCAAAACCAGGTGAACTCAATTATCTAAAATGCCTATGGTTTATGAATGTAGGATATTGTGCTTAGATGTCCACGACTGAAAAAACTTGGAAATGGCCTGATATTGCTGCCCAATATCACGCCTGCATTGCCAACAGGAAAAAAGATGTCAAGTTTTACATAGAAAAGGGCAGCCTGAATGTTAACAACACCAATGGCAGCAGTCAAGATGGTCTACAGGCTACTCCCTTGGGCTCACTACCATTCACAAAGTGATACCATGCATGGGAAAATCCTAGAAACTGACTTCTTTTTTCATCTGTCAACCAAGTCTTGCTCAAACACAAAGCAATTGTCAGGGCTGTTTTTCAACAAGTATGAAAAGCCCTTAAGTGGTTTGCTGTAGTTGAGCTTCATGGACATACCACAAATGTGTCTTATCCCACTGTGTACAAACTTTTAAATTATCTAGCCATATTTATTGGTTAATATGTTTATTGATATGCTTCATTCCCTTCTAATTTAATACAATGTTACAATTGGCACTTTGTCGACAGAACATCAAAACGGATATTGTTATGGAGATTGGGCACAGCATCAACCCTGCAATGGATATAGGTCAGGTATGTCCTGAACATTTTTTTCCTCTGTGTTTTTGTTGAGATAAAATTGTGCAGAGGACGCCACAATATTCTTATCAGTATGTTATATCCAATAACAGCTAAGGGCAAATTTGGTTTTACAAATAGTTCTGTGAATTCTGGAAGGAATTTTCTTACTCCTTCTCAAAATGCATAACTCATTGGCATCTTCAGGCTTACAACTTTTAAAAGACAATTAAAAACTTGGCTATTTAGGCAGGCCTTCCCTCCAGTCAGCTAAGTCTTTTGATTTCTTCTTTCCTATCGCATAACTCATTGGCATCTTCAGGCTTACAGCTAGAGGTGGGCGTGAACCAGGCTTTGGCTGGAGCGACACCCGCACAGATGTTCCATGCTCACCATGCATTTCCCTCCCCTGCACAATTGGCGGGGTATAAATTTAATAAATAAATAAAGAGGTGGGTGTGAACCAGGCTTTGGCAATTCGGATCGGCTTGGAGCGACACCCGCACAGATGTTCCATGGTCACCACGCATTTCCCTCCTTTGCCTCCCCTGCCCAATTACCCACTCGTTGGCAGCTCCATGGGCTTCCCTGCCCCTCTCCTCGTCTGAGTGGACAATCGCATGAAGAAAGCAGAGGAGGGAAGCCTGCTGCAGCTGGGGAGTGAGCGAGTATGCAAAGGGGGCAGGAGAGGGAAGCACACGGCGCCCACAGAACATCTGTGTGGGAGCCGCACCAAATCGGACCAAACTGCCAAGGCACGATTCATGCCTGTCTCTATTTACAGCTAATAGGGTGGCATAGAATCTCCTTGGGCCAGGATGCAAGAGCCAGAAAAGGAGAGTGAGCTTACTGAGAGGGTTGCTAGTTGAAGGTGGTGTTGTGCTTTATTGATGGCTCATCAAAGTCCATTTGTATCAATAAGAGAGTCAACAAAAAATACTGTAATTTGTGGAGCAGTATATAATTCCCATGGGGTGAATCAACTGAACAAAGGAGGCCATGGTCTTTAGGTCGCAAGGCCGGAGTAAGGCTGCTAATGACAGGACCTTTGTTTTTTTTAGGAGGGGTCATTAATTTATAGAGCCACCATAAGTAAAAAAGCAACTTTTTTGTTTGTTTGTTTGTTTTTGAGGAGGGGTCATTAATTCATAGAGCCACCATAAGTAAAAAAGCAACATACAAGCATGTAACTATGCCTAATTCACCTTCCCCCAATAAGGTAGATGAAATGTACCTGCCTGTTGCACAAAATTTCTGGAGATGCATAATAAGCACTGCTGTGTTCCTACATCTGTGTTGAAAATGCATTCTGAGGTAAAATGCAAAAGATATGAAGCAGATTCCAGCATACAGCCAACCTGTAGGTATCTGCTACTTATGTCACTAGATTTAGTGAGACATTACCATCTTCTACTAGGAAATGAGGAAAGCTGACTTTTTAGATTGACAGTGGCCATGCTGGCTGATGTTTCAGGGTAATTGTAATCCCAAAATATTAAATTTTCCCATTTCTACTTATAATGATCTGTTAATATCACAATAGCTAGAATCCCTTTTGTTTAGATCCAATTTAAATTTACAGTTACTTCAGGGTAATTGTAATCCCAAAATATTAACTTTTCCCATTTCTGCTTATAATGATCTGTTGATGTCACAGCAGCTAGATTTTGTTTAGATCCAATTTAAATTTACACTTGGGTAAATGAACTAGGGGACGTGGCGGTGCTGCGGGTTAAACTGCAGAAGCCTCTGTGCTGCAAGGTCAGAAGACCAGCAGTCATAAGATCGAATCCAGGCAACGGAGTGAGTTCCTGTCGCTTGTCCCAGCTCCTGCCAGCACAGCAATTTGAAAGCATGTAAAAATGTGAGTAGATAAATAGGTACCACCTCAGTGGGAAGGTAACGGCGATCCATGTCTAGTCGCATTGGCCACGTGACCACGGAAACTGTCTACGGACAAATGCTGGCTCTACGGCTTGGAGACAGGGATCAGCACCGCCCCCTAGAGTCGGACACGACTGGACTAAAATGTCAAGGGGAACCTTTACGTTTACCAGATATTACACCTCAGCAACATGGTTTGTGTAATTTGCAGTCAGTTGCATGGTTCCTGTTGTGACTGATTGTGTAATGCACCTGTGGAAATGTGGTGTCAGTAGCACTTTTGCCTTGTAGTAGTTGGAGCTACCATATGTATAAAATCAAGTTACGCACACATAGCAATGCAACAGAATTTCAATCAATTGCTGATAGCATATATGATCTTAGCTGTCCAAATTAACAGAGTTCTAAAATCTGACAATATAGAAATGCATATCTGACATAGTGTACTAATGCCTAAGCTTACTTAGGGGTGAAACTAAGGGAAGGAAAAGGAAAAAAATAGAAATATTTAAGAAAAATATGTCATTTACATATAGAATTCGGAAAATCCTGTTACAAGATGTTTCTGCATGTGGTTAAGTAGAAAAACACACTAAATATATAAAATATAGCACACAGAGTATGTGGATATATGTAATGTATGTAATGACAGTTCTGTAATATAGCATGCTATCCCTTCATCTTCTGTTTGATGTTTTATGAGTTTAGTAATAAAAAGAGACTAAATTAAAAGCTAAGAGTGCTTTCATAGAGCTTTTATTAAATTGCAGGTTTGTGGGGGTAGGGCCCTAGGTGTGCTGTACGAATTTGGGCTTCTGGGAGTTGTAGTCCAGAAATATCTAGGTCCTCACATTTGAGTGCTAAATTGGGTTGCACAGCAAAGTTACATGGATACATTACATTAAGTTACATTATAAACTGCATTTTACATTTGCCAGATTGAAGGTGCTTTCGTTCAGGGACTTGGGCTTTACACAACAGAGGAGCTCAAATACTCTCCAGAGGGAGTTCTCTACACACGAGGGCCAGATCAGTATAAAATCCCAGCAATCTGTGACATTCCAGAACAGTTCAGTGTCTCCTTGCTGGCACCTTCCCAAAACACAACGGCCATCTACTCATCTAAGGTAAGAAGGTGAAAGCCAAGAAGCTGCAGACTTACAGGAGGGGAAAACAGTGTGTGGGAACAAGATACTGAACATGGAAGCTGAATGTCTTTTAATTGTGTTACTGAACATGAGTTGTAGACCACCCCATAGTCATCTATATGTAAGGCCTTTGAAAAACTGAAGCATGCATAGTTTGTCTGAAATTATTCCTAAATAGGGATGGATGAATCACTCACTTCTGGTTTCTCCCAAATTATTACCATACTATTTATGAAGAAATTTTATTAACTAAAAGTCTGTATATAATCATAATAATCTTTGAATTGCAGAGCTGGAAGGGACCCTGCAGTTCTTCTTTGTGGTCTCTGTGAATGCACATAATTGGGTTGTAGCGCACCTGTGCAGAGATTCTCAGAAACTTCTAGAGCTTTTGCACATGTTTGCCAAGACCTCCATCCTGTCACATGTGCCCCGCCCATGGCATAGAGTGCCTCAGTTCCTTTTTTTGTCTCCGTTGCAGCAGCATCTCGGCAACAGAGCTAAATTTGTCTTAAAACAAAACAGAAAGAAAGAAAGAAAATATTAGGATTCCTCCTTCTAACAGAGCTTCCTCCAAATAATGAGTAAAAAAAAACGAAAGAAGAGGGAGAGCAGAATTGCACCATCTATTTTCCCCATTCCCCCTCCCCCCATTCCTCGGCCTCTTTTTTATAGCCTCTTCAGGCCCCTTTAAACAGTTTGTGTCTTGCCCAAACAAGATAGCTTTATCGGACAGGCATTCTCAGTGCCTTTTCTGCTTAGGAAAAGGACACAAAAAAGATGGCAGACTATGACCCATCTTATGATCTCTGCCATCTCAACTCTTACATCACTCCATGGTGCTTTTGGATGGTGACCTTGGATGCTTCCATCCAACTACTCCAACAAGGTGACTGGGTCACAATCATACATCTGACAGACGCTTACTTTCACATAAGCATACAGTATGGCCAGATCACTGCACTGACAGACGCTTACTTTCACATAAGCATATGGCCAGATCACTGCCGATACTTCAGATTCACTCTCCATGGATCTACATACAAGTTCAAAGTCCTTCCATTTGTCCTGTCACTGGCACCAAGATCTTTACAAAATGTCTTGCTCTGGTAGCAGTGTACCTCCATCTCCAAGAAATCACTGTTTCCCCATATTTAGATGACTGGCTTCTGGTATCCCCGTCTCACGCCAAAGTGCATAAGGACATCCAGCTCACTCCATCTATATGAAATTCATGAAATACATGAAATTCTATTCCAAAATACCGAAATACTGGACAACACCAGCAATCATTATGTCAGACTGCACAGGGAAGCCATTGAAATCCACAAGCACCAGCAAAACCTCAACAGAAAATAGGGAAGTGTGAAGCTCAACAAAACTTGACTCCCAGCTCTCAAAAATACAGTGTGCGAAAGGTCAATGAACTCTACCCAGCCACAAGGACAAGGACTCACTACACACAAAAGACCAGCAAATGACACCCATCAACCACAGGGACAGATAATCTCTTCTCCTTACACAACAATACATACTAATCACCCATCTACAGAAAAAGACAAAAGCCTATCTCACAGCCATAAATACTGCACTCCCAAAGCCAAACTACACCAGAGCACAGAGTGCCGCCCGAGCCACAGAGAGTGGCAAAACGTTAGGAAGAACAACCTTCAGAACACAGCCAAAGAGCCCGAAAAACCCACAACAACCATTAGATCCCGGCCATGAAAGCTTTCGCGAATATAAAAAACATGGATGTTTATTCAGGCCTTTCCTCCAGTCAATACTTGATTCTCTCTTCCAATTTCTCTTTAATTTATTTTTACTCTATTTTCTTGGTTTCCACATTTTCATTTGTAGATTTATGTAACTATGTGTTTTTATTAATTGTTTGTATTATATTGGAAGCCGCTCAGAGTGGTCGCATAGATCAGATGGGCGGGATACAAATCAAATCAAATAAATAAATAAAAAAATAATGAAGGCGCTAGCATCCCAGCTTACTTGGTGGGACAATATTCACAACCTCCGCATAGGCAGACCATTCAGAACTCTCAATTTGTTCAAGTTACTACATATGCCAGCGCCAGAGGCTGGGGGGGCATGGCAAAGGCACTACTATACACAGCCTGTAGTCCCCTGCGGAAAAACAACTTCATATCAACCATTTGGAACTACTTGCTGTCATCAAAGCTTTCTGTGCATTCGAAAGCCTTCTCACAGGACTTGGAGTTCAAGTAGCTACCAACAACACAATGGTCTTATTCTACATCAACAAACAGGGAGGAACACACTCCCTATCTCTACCTTGCAGTGCAACTATGGGAATGGTGCTACACCTGCCACATTTACCCAATGGCAGTCCACATTTCAACAGGAGACAATGCCCTTGCAGATCATCTCAGCAGGCTCCACGCATTCAGCCATGAATGGTCCGTAGATGGCAATGTGTTTCACTGTCTATATTGCCATTGGGGCACCCCACAGATGGATGTATTTGCGTCCCCTGCCAACGCAAAATGCTTCCACTACTGCTACAGAGTGGGAATAAGGTCAGTTTTGATAAGCAATGCCTTCATGAACACTTGGCATCCGAGCCTTCTATATGTCTTGCTTCTATACCGCTATTCCAGCACACACAGACATCAAAATCTGGCAAGACAATTCCAACATCATCCTCATTGCCCCATGGTGGTCCCGCCAACCATGGTTCACAACCCTCCGATCTATGGCCCTTGATTTTCTCCGCCTTCCATGGCTCCCCCACCTGTTGACTCTCAGCCAGGGCAAGACTTTACATCCAGACCTCCAAATAGTACACCTCATCACCTGGAGGATACTCCCTCAATAGCATAGGTGTTGGACTATGCCCGCAAACCTTCCGCCAATACTTTTTATACTTACAAGTGGAACATTTTCTTCAAATTCAAGTCATCACGTAATTTACCTGTCTCTCCGATGACTCTAGATGCTGTTCTGGCCTTCCTTCTACACTTCTTCCAGTAAGGTCTCTCAGATTCTACACTGAAGGTCTGCATTGTGGTGATAGTTGCTCATCAACCTCAAAATACCAACTGTGCATCATTGTTCAGACACCGCACACTCAAAAGATTTTTACATGGCCTATGGAGTATTTGCCCTTCACGCAGGCCACCTACTCCTCAATGGTTGCTTCAGCTTGTTCTCATTCAACAAGCGCAACCACCATTTGAGCCCTTAGCAATAGCACTGGAATGACTCTTGACTTTGAAAACAGTTTTGCTTGTTGCCGTCACTTCAGCCCATAGGGCCAGTGACCCCTCTGCTCTCCGCATCAACCTTACTTTTTTTTAATTCCATCCTCACAAGGCCATGCACTACCGTGACCTGGCCTTCCTTCTAAAGGTGGTATATGACTTCCAGTTACGGCAGCCTATCGTTCTGCCTGTGTTCTTCCTTTCACCTACTACTGACCTAGAATGCTCATGACACTCTTGCCATTCTATGTCTTCCACACTGCTTCCTTCTGGAAGTCCAAAAGGCTCTTCGTTGCTTGCCACGGTTCTTCTAAAGGTTTTCCAGTCACCTCTCAGACTATTTCCAAATGGATTGTCTCCACCATTTGTCTAGCATATGACTTTTCCCGTGAACCCCTTGCCAGCTCCAGTTGTGGCACATTTTACCAAGGCCATGGCGACATCAACAGTGTTTCTTAGAGGAGTGGACTTGATTGACGTTTGCAAAATGGCCACCTGGGCTACACCTTCTGCATTTGCTGCCCATTACCAGCTGGATGTCCAAGCTAGGGCTGATGCCTCATTTGGTCATGCTGTCCTCGCCTCTGCTTTACTGTGATGTCCCTCCTCTGGGTAAGTCAGCTTGCTAGTCACCCATTAGTGTCCATTCACAGAGACCATGAAGAAGAAAAAGAGGTTACTGACCGGTAACTCCATTTCTTCGAGTGATCATCTGTGAATTCACACCTCCCGCCTGTCCTCCCCTCTGTCCGACACGTATGCCCTTTGCATGCTGGGCAGCGGCGGACTGTTCTCTGGAACTGAGGTACTCTATGCCATGGGTGAGGCATGCGTGACAGGAGGGAGGTCCTGGCGAACACATGCAAAAGCTCTAGACGTTTCCGAGAACCTCTGAGCAGGAGTGCTAAAACTCAATTGTGTGAATTCACAGATGACCACTCGAGGAACCAGAGTTACAGATAATTAAGCTCTCTATCATCGAGTCTGGCCCCTGTCCAGGAGGCAAGGTGGGGAAGCAAACTCTCATGTTCTGGCTCTACAACCAGATACTTAAACCACTGAGCTAGCCAGCAGTTCTTTCGGTTCATTCATCCTCATTTTTTAGAAAACTGAACAAAAGTCTCACTCATCCCTACATTCACGTATTTGCATCCCATGTTTCCTCCAAGAAGCTTGGGATGTTATTCTTGAATCTCTTCATCCATTTTTATCTGTGAGATAAATTACTCAAAGAGAAGATAATTGTCTCATTGTTGCCCAAAGAGCTTGAGTAGGGATTAGAATACAGTGAGTTTTCATGCTCCAAATGTAGGTACAATACCACACTAGCACTACTTTAAGAACAGATGGTTGATGGTTCCATAATTGGTGGCTTGGAGCATTTCTCACTAAATTCTGTAGAATAGACCAGGCTGACAGAGAGAGGGAGGGAGGGAGTTTCTCAGGGGGAGACTGAGAGAGAAATAGAGCCCCCAAGTCCCAACCTCACAGTCTAATGGCACCGGACTGGCTTTTGCACTGGCATTATTCAACAGGGATATTGTCTAGCATGTACCTGTAGTATCTCACATCAACAACGTTGAGGTTTTGGTTCACATAGACAGGGCCTCCACCTAAGTACTGCCTTGGCTGAGCAAAACTTTCAGAATGATTTCATGGAGGCCACCATCATGCTTCAACAACATGCCAGCTGTAGACTAGTGCTCCCACGGAACCTAATGGCAAAACAAACATGTGTCAAGTGTGCAGAAGCACACTCTGCAAGGTTTTAATGCAATATGTCTATAAAAGAGGTAGTCATATTAGCCAGTTGGAGTAAAATCAAAAAATCACCCTAAGGTACCTTAAAAAGTAATGGATTAATAATAGCCTAAACATTCATTATATACTACACACAATTCCATATTCTCATCTTCCAGCCAGAACACACCACAAAATCCTTTATCTGCAGCAAAGCCCTACAATAATATAACCAGACTTGTTGAACTGAGCTTCACAATATAGGAATTTATATTTCTCCAACCACAGTATTCACCCAATGAAGTGGAAAAAACCAAAAACAAATCAGAACAACAAGACTAGACTGTTGTTCGGGAATACTATGGGAGAGAAGAGAAAATTGGAGAATTCAGCCTGTTGACACCTGGAGTTTGCAGCTGAAAATGCAGAAATATAGTGTCAATGAGTTACAGCCCATCCTGGACAATAATGCTTTCCTCTCCCAGGCTTTGGGTGGTAGGACTGTTCTTGCTTATAAACCCTCTCCCAGTCCTTAAACAGCTACTTACTGATAACTGCAAAAGGCCACACAACAAGGATACAAGCATAAATTGACCTTGTAGCAAACCCAGATGCCAATTCTACCCCAGTGTCTTCCTCTGGAGAAAACCATTAAAAGAAATGATTACATCACTCACAATATCAAGGGTTCAGAAGAAGAAGAAGAAATCAGAAATTTCTGATTTTTTTTTTCTGCTGTATGTATGGAAGATATCCCTTGAAGTGCCAGACAGGAGACTAATAACGTGGACTTTTGACACCAGCTAAACAGCACTGCCCACTAAAGGAAACATCCACCAGGTAATCTGACTGTGAATTTACTAAAATTGGCCTTCCCTGGTGGATGAACTAAATTTTAATCCCAGCTCTCTGATGGAGGCCTGCCAAGATGCTACTTGATGCCATTTACTGAGGAGTTTCCACCCCCACCCCACCCTCACCCCAACCAGCTGTTTGTATGCTGCTCAAGAATGTGTGTCTGGTGTGAACAACAACCGTGCTAAGAAATCTTTTGCAACTGCTTGAGGATGATGGGGTAAATATTACCATGGAACACTCGCAATTAACTTGATTTTTTCAATTGGTCCAAAGAAGGGTATCACCTGCTTTTGCATTAACATCAAGGGCTCATTCTTCATTTTCCTATATGTTATATGCTCTGTGCTATCAGCAAGCCTTTTCTGCATTCTGTATTGGGCAGACGGGCCAATGTCCGGAGAACACTTCAGCCTCTCAGAGCACCCTGTCTGTAACCTTAAGGTAACTACTGTAGAGCAAAGAAACTTCAAAGGGAGATGAGAACCCAAGGTTGCTGACTTACAGTTCATTAGGAAGTTGTATCTGTTGCCAGAGATTTTAATTGGAATAAGAGATTCTTAACACATATATCACTCATTAGGAGGAAGCATCTGTCGCCAGAGATTTGAATTGGAATAACAGATCCTTATCACACTTTGTGTGTTATTTGGTTACTTAATGCAACAATATTTGTGTTGACAGCAACAATCTTGTAATTAGTAAACCATGTCTGAGTTCTCCCTACCTAAAAAAAAAAAAAAACTGGAAAGGGTTCCCATAAGTCAGAATCAAAGTTGATGACAACACAGTTCTTATTAGCATTAGTAATTCAGTTAGCATCACCATTAAGGCTGCGCTTCACAAAAGCTTATGCCAACGAAAACTTGCCAACTTCTAGGATGTCACAAGACTCTTTTGTTTGTAGGTCTCCCTGCATTTCATCTCTCCCTAAGCTCACCTGTCAACAGTCCTATCTTCAGTCATGTAAGCTGTCTTCTACCTTTCACGTGTTGTGAAAATGAATTGGTTCTTATTGCTTTTGCCTCTCTTCTTGGCAGGGTGTGGGTGAATCAGCACTTTTCATGGGATGCTCTGTGTTTTTTGCAATATGGGATGCTGTGGCTGCTGCCAGGAAGGAAAGAGAACTATCTGAGGACTTTGTGCTGAACAGTCCCCTAACTCCTGAACGAATTCGAATGGCCTGTGCTGACCAATTTACAGAGATGGTAAAAAAAAAATTTACTTCTGTCCAAAACATGTTTCTTAGGCTTGCTCTTTCCTTGATTCATGGGGAAAGGCCATCTTGTGCTCTCAAGGCAGAAAGGAGGGTTTAAAGTCTTCAATGATGAGGAGTACTCTACCCAAATCTCATGAGGCAATACCCCTTTTAGATCTGGGTTGTACTTCCAGAAAAGTTATTTTTGGGACTACAACTCTCAGAATCCCTCAGCCAGTATGGCCAACGTTCATGTCTATGAAAGGAACCTTTTCAACCTCTGCATATTTTTCTGGGTCAAAGACCTGCTTTCTCTGGGCTTTCTTTCTGATGTCTTCAGAAGGGCCTTATAAACTCAGGTATGGGCCCCATCCTTAATAGCCAAGATGATTTAACGTTGTTTGCCTCCCCAAAACAGACAACTCCGCTGACTATTTGTTTGTTCTTTTAGATACCAAAGGATGGGAACAAGCCTACCACATCTTGGGCCATCTCTCTCTGAATGAAAACCAGGAACTGGAGGGAAGAAAGTGGCCTTTATCAATGTTTCCCATGGCTAAACTGATGAAAGTAATCCACAGAACTTCAATACTTGCTTTTTTTATGGGAAATACTATCATGCGCTTTGTATTAACTGGCATGGAAATCTCCTTCCTGCCATGTTCAGATAAATAAACAAACAATAAAAATTGGATGATAGAGAGTTACATTTAAAGACTGAAAAAATCTGTTTGCAATAAACAAACAATAAAAATTGGATGATAGTTACATTTAAAGACTGAAAAATCTGTTTGTGTACAATGGATAGATACATATTCATCCTCTTGCCTTCTTAGCTCTTTCATTCTGGCCTATTCTGCCTCCTTTGCAAAACTCAGATGTAACAAGTTTCCAACGGTGCATTTACCTGGTAATAATTACATTGTCTTGTGCAGCAAAATTACATTTGAATATTAATGTAGCAAGCAGCTTTATTGGTATGGCAAGAAATGTTTTCTAATTATTTTTAGATTTCTAAAGCATCTTCAAGCACTTTAGAGGCAATTTAACATGAATCGTTCATGATTAATGCTATTATCTTAGCAATATAAAGTTTTTTAAAGTAACAAAATAATAATAATAAGTGCAAGAAGTTCCCTTTTTTTAAAAAGTAACAAGAAACAACTTGCTGTTTTTTAAAACATCATATAAAGAGTCACAAGAGTAGGTTACTTTTAAAAAGTGATTTCCAGATCACTTCTACTTCTTGGCCATGGTGCCTTCTTCAGCAGCTCCACTGGCCTTCTGCCTCCCTAACTCATTTACCTACCCATGGCCTCTGCTCACCAACAGAACACATACGGTCTTCTCCCTAGTTCCTCTTTCCTCTTTTTTAACAGAATCCTTGGTTCTCAACCATCTTTACTTACTCTTCTGCCCCCTTTGACTCATACTGCCCACCACTGTCTCCAGTAAAACCTGTAGGGGTCCCGTGGTTGTCCCTCGCCAAATCCCTACTGTCCAGAAGGATATAGGGCAGGAGCTGGAGATCCTTATGTATAGGGAGAATGTTCCTTATCCCTTGCCTTTCCTGTTCAGAAAAAACAAGGGGGGAACAACGTGGATTTTTCTGGTGCTTTGCAGACATCCTAAGTGGATTGTACTATTGCCTCCCCTTTCATGCACACAGAAAAGGAGGGGGTGATGCTGTTTTCTAGGTGGTGCTCCAGGGGTGTAGACCCAAAGGGATCTGGCCCACCACCTGAAAGCCGCATGCCCCTGCCAGTCTAGCAAGATTTTCCTGGCATCAGAATGCTATGTGTTCTCCTGCACACACGCGCACACTGCTTAGAACTGATTGCCTCTGAACAGCTGCTTTCTGCTGTCAGATTCTGTCCTTGTGGCCAAACTATGAGTTGTAAATTGATTTAGCTTCAGCCATTTCTCCTTTAAGTAAGATCGGTGGTGGCATAAATCTCAAGAGCTTGTTCTAGATTTGGATTTGGGTAGGATTTCATTACATATACTACTACACAATGGTATGTGATAGCCTGAAGATTCAGCCAAAATTTGCAGACTGAAAGAGAACTGTCTTTGATTATTGTGGCTGACAAAAGCTAAAAGCTCTGAGCAAATTCTTTTTTTCTCAGCAGAGAATCTTTTTGTGCATCAGAGATGTTTATAATACAAATTATCTTCTGCTGTTTTGTGGGTGGTATTTATGTGCAGCTGTCTCTCCAAAAGATCAGGCACTAGATAAAAATAAAGAACATTAAAGGATCCTTACATTAGTTTTGTGAAATCACAACATAACCAACAAATTCCTTCATTTCAGATAATTTGTGTTAAAATTGGCAGGAGAGTAAGCGCTTGATCACATGTTCCAAAAGAACCCCAGTTATATTGATTCTGCTGTTATTTAAATTTTTTTATAAATTTCTGCTCACGTGACACCATGGGTAAAATCAATTCATTTGGCCAGCCAATTGATTTATTTCCTCTTTGCCAAGAGAGTTGTTTGAAAATGTACCAATCATGAATTGCTTTATTTGTTCTTATTTCAGTGTGTATGAACATTGCTGTCAATTTATTTCCTTTGCAGATGGGTTGAGATTTTTGGCACTGTGGCCACTTCATGCACTTGTGCCTTTTTAAAAAAACATTTTTAGGAGATATCAATAAATCTCTAGTAGCAGCCATCATGCCACCAAAACAACATGAATACATTGTTCAGAAGGAGACAGCCTTCCCCCCTCCCTTGCATGCGTAAGGAAGGAAAGGGGAAAGGGCTTGAGCAGAGAAAGGGACATTTCCTGCTTTGAATTCTAAAGAAAGCAGCATTGCATTGATGTCTCCTCTTTTTTTTAAGCCCTGCTCTTCACAATACTTCATAAGTCTTTTAAAACCTGCTTCCTCCTCCTGATACTGTGCAAAGAGGAAAGAAAAAGGAAAGCCAAGAAATTAAGAGGGAGATATATGCAGGGAAATAAGGAAATGGGGTGAGTAAGTAAAGGATGGAAGGTAAAAGGGGAGGAGGAAAGGAGGGGAAGAAAAATGGAGAGTAGAGAAAGAAATCAGGAAGTGAAAATTAAAAAGGGAAGGGAGGAAGGGCTGCAGGTGACATATAGCACCAGGTTGCACATTGACTAATGTTTGGAAGGGACAGAAAATGGTGATAAATGAATTGATTTATATGAGAAGGCTTATGTAGCATACAGAACTGGTTTAAAAGCAAGAAATGTACTCATTGAACTGACTGCCATGTGAACAAGCCCAGTAGTATATATACCATGTGACCACATGTAAATACACATGTATCAATTCAAGGAAGGGATAAAAAGATTTGTTATAACGAGGGTTCTTTTAGCATATGTGATTGAGCCCTAGGCTATCGTTTGACTATATACAGTGTCATAACAGTTTCAGTATGTTGCAAATTGAAATTTATTAAGTTTATAGGCATCAATAACAAGGTTTTCATCTAATAATGCTTCCCACCTTCCACTGTACAGCCTCTTGTGGATAATTTTGCCAAACCTGAATTATTTGGCTTGCACTTTATGATTCCTTGGATATGCCAGAACTGCTCAAACTGTTCAGAAGTTTCTTTAAAAGTTTTATACGCTCATAGTTTGAAGTTACAAACTGAATGATCATAAACATGAAAGAATGAAACAGAATGTAATTGTTTTGTTTCTCTGTTTGTAAACCACGGTGATGGCATTTCCAGTTGAGCAGTATGCAGACATTTTAAATGCAGACATGTATACAAGCATTTGTGTCCCACTCATGACAAATAGGAAAACATGGGGTACAAATTCTAGCAGATAATGGTATGAAATATACCTCTGCTGGATGAGAATATCAGTAGCAGGATGTGTGCTGGTTTGGTTATAAAATATCCCACTTGGAAAATGTTTGCCGATTTAAAACATTATCAATTTGAAGTACAGTGGTGCCTCGCAAGACAGGGGACGAAACCCCCGCAAGATGATTGGTTTTTGCGATCCCTATGGTGCTTTGCAAGACAGTTTTTTCTATGGCCGTGCTTTGCAAGACTTTTTTTTTTGAGACCGATGCTTCGCAAGATGAATAAATTTCATTCGTCTTGCAAGTTTCCCATAGGGAACCTCGCAAGACTATTTTTTCGCAAGATGACAATTTTCGCAGAATGAATTAAAATCATCTTGTGAGGCACCATTGTAGTCACCAGAACTCTAGCTACTTTATGTTTAAAATGCCTTATGCTGCTTCAACAGAGTAGAATATATTCTGATGTCTTATTGCCTAAATAAAATTTATGAAATGCATTTACTAGTCTCAGCCTTTCTTTCTGTCTGTCATTCTTTCATTTGGCAAGGATTTGGTGTGATGTGAATGATCATGGAACAAAGGAAGGCTGATTACCTTAGAGAAAGAACAAAGGAGTCGACAATGGATGTCCGAGCCAGCGGGGTCTAAAGGCAATGCCCTGAGAGCTCTTTTTATTAACTGAGCATGATTACATAGTATGTTGTTAGAATTCAGATAGGATACTAGTTACATAATCGTTGCTAGGACTGGCTGAAACAACCCTTTGATCTTATGCTCTACCTCTAAGCGAAAGGGCAAAATAAGGGGCAACCCCATCTGCTGGCAGCTGCTACTTCCTGCCAGGAGTGTATGCATGTCACTGGAACAGAATGCAGCTACAACCTTCAGGCAGAGGTTTCCCACAGCATATTAATAGAGGGGAGGGGTGTTTCAGTGCCCTGTAATTCAGGGTGGAGATTAATAATGGAATGATATCTTTCTTTGCCCCTCTTTCTCCAAATAACGGAGAATTTAAAGGAGCGTTTAGAGCTGAGGTGCTGAAGTGTGGCCCTCCCAGTATGGTGAGTTGCAGCTCCCATTGACCCTTATTGTTGGGTTTTCTGGACAGAGCTGATCAGATCTCTAATCAAACTACAGCGGTGCCTCGACTTACAAACGTCCCAACATACGACCATTTGCTCTGGCCACTTCATGGCCACTGTGTTTGTACCCTTTTTTGAAAATGCCTTTTTAAAGGCATATTGATACATTGAAAGCTGTTGCCACCTGGAAAAAAGGAATACATTGTTCAGAAGTTTATTTATTTATTTAACTTATATGCCGCCCACACTACCCGAAGGTCTCTGGGCGGCTTACAGCATTTAAAATACAATAAAAAGGCAAAATAAAAGGGCAAAATAATTAAAATGCAATTAAAATATATATTCTAAAAATTGCCATCAGACCTACAGCTGATATTATTTCAGTTAAAAGCCATTTGGAACAGGAAGGTTTTGACCTGGCGCCAAAATGTCATCAGCGTCAGCGCCAGACGAATCTCAGTCAGGAGTTTTAAAGGAGCATTTAGAGCTGAGGTGCTGAAGTATGGCCCTCCCAGTATGGTGAGTTGCAGCTCCTATTGACCCTTATTGTTGGGTTTTCTGGACAGAGCTGATTGGATCTCTAATCAAACTACAGTGGGGCCTTGACTTACGAACGTCCCAACATACGACCATTTCGAGATACGACCAGCTCCAGCTGCAAAATTTTGCTTCGACTTGTGGCCGGAGCTTCGAGTTACAGCCAGAAAAAGGCAGGGGAAAAGGTGGGGAATTCACATTGCTAGCCATTGGTGGTGAATAGGCTGCTCTTTGTAGCTCTTTCACCGCAGCAATTAGAGAGTGTGTGATCGGAGGAGGCTTGGGACTTCACATTGAGTGAAATAAGGCATCAGCAATT